CAAACATAAATGCTTCAAAAGGCTTCTGTGTTACTGGCTTTACTTTTCATCTCTCAGCCCTTTATAAGAGTGCTCAAAGTGTTCATTTCCAAAGCTTTGTTCTTCAGCCAGTCAAATGGCAGAAGTGGCTGCTTGCTTTTCAAAGGTTATATAGCATGTGTCTAGCCTGGAGCTTCTTGCTTGTGGACGTGTTAGCTCTGATTGTGTTTAAACATTAGGGATAAAATTTTTGGTGTATAAGTAGTGAAAAAAATTCTCTTTGTATCTATACAGTTCATATTATTAGACTGTGCCAGTAAGTTAAAAGGGGCTTCTCCTAGAGATTAGAGGCTTACTAGCAAAGGAGACTAAGCTCTCCCCTGCCCCTGCTCCACTTCAACTGTGTGTCACTGACAAATTCCTGTTCCCTTGTAAGCCTCAGTTTTCCCACTTGCTGATTAAAACTGGTACTTTCCTCTGTGAATGGAGTTATTATCTAAGAGTGGACAATATCCTGGAGAGATGTTTATTATTTGTAAATCCTTTTATGAAAATCAGACAATTGATGGAATTATTCTATTTGCTTTGGGTTGTAATTACATGTACAGAAGTACAGAAATTATTATGAACAATATTATTAAATGTGAAATTATGTTTGAGCTTCAGAAATGTAAATGTAAAACTTTAACTTAATAAGGTTAAATAGAATGATTTCTATAAAATATTTATTTTGATTTCCTATGAATGTATTTCACTCAGTGGAAGAAATAAATGTGTTCTCCAGAAATTTATTGAGGGAACCTGTAATGGCTCACTGCTTATAAGGCAAAAGTTTGGAGACAATCTTTTGGAATGTTTAACATAAATGATGAAGCTGCAAATGTTTTGAGGAGATTATATTTCAGTAAAATACTTGCATTGGCCTTCCTTGTAAGAGGAAGAGAATTTTGACAGAAATTTTCAGGATACCCTACTTATTATCTTATCCCAGTCTCCCCATTTATGAAATAGAATGGCTTTTCTTTAGTGTACAAACCAGAACCACTTGAGATTATAAGACAGGGAGCATTTCTGGTATGTTAGGTCATGAAAGTATGGGTAGACTCTGTAATGGCATAGACCATATAATAAGCAATTAGGTGCCTGGGATCCCTTTAAACCCAATCCTGATGCAATAAGTACCATAGTGTCTCCCCAGCAGGCATAGTGTAGCTAGTTTTCAGAAAAAATACACGTACTCATCATCTGTTTGGTTCTCTGTACAGTAGAAGGCTGGATGTGGATGGGGAGTCCAAGTGCTATCCTGAAAGTGTAGGATCTTGTACTCAGTGCAGAAAATTTGTCCATTATCATGTTCAACTGTTTATAATTTCTGACTTGTTCATCCGTGGCACAGCAGGAGTCCATTGATATGGCCTTTAGAGAATGATGGAAAAAAAAAAAAAGAACAATTATTTTTAAAGCATTCTAGTAATAAGTTTTGAGGATTTTTTTTATGTAGTGCTGTGTAGTATTTTAATATCATAAAACTTCAGTTGTAGCTTTTGTTTAGTAAAAAACGGTGGAAAAGTTTTGAAATTACCCTTTGTGTCACTGAGATCAAACAAGATCAAACAAATTTTTCATCTTTATAGGATAGAATAACACCAATTTTGTGATATAATTTGTCTGAAAGTGAAATATTCTTCATTGTGAAAGCATATTTTGGCAGCTTGCCATATATGTACCTTATATTTAATGTATTGCAATTATACCTCAAGGCTTTGTTATGCTATTTACTGTGCAATACATATTAAAAAAGACAGTTGCTGTCATTTTTGCTGCAAGATTTGCAGTGTTAACCTGCAGCAAAGGACATCTGACAAGGATAAACAAGGAAGGAAAAGGGCAAAGTCACTGTAAAATATGAATTGTATTCAGTTCCTCAGAAAGATATAAAGTATTGCTCTGCCTTTAATTTTGCGTGCTTAGACCCTGGAATTTGTCTTTCTGTGTAAACAGAAAATTTTCTTATACCAACAAGCTACGCTTTCACAGCAGGGCAGGTAATAGATCCTAGATCTCCCATATATAAGTATTGTGGCAGGAATATAATTGCACCTGGAGGTCAATTTGAGTGCATTTGGCAGAGGGGGGAAAGCAAAGGGCAAAGGGACAGGGGGGAACTGAATGCACTATAAACAACTGTCCAGAAGCAAGCATGAACAATCTGCCTGGGAACTGTCTGGGCTTTAAAAGCAGTTTCAATCTAATAGGACATAATTGTCTTCAGCTTAGCCTTGGCATGAACCTTTTTGCCTCGCAGAAATCTCTACAGTGGTGCAGAAACTTCTGCACAGTACCTGGGACCCATGGGTACATTGATCATCAGGGGCCTTTACTGAACACATCTAGCTTGAGAAAAAAGAGCAGTTGTAGTTTCAATCTGAGTGTGGACGTTTGCCTCCTGCAGGGTACTACATGTAAAAATGTACATAAAATACAGTATAGGTATTGTATTTTGTGGAACAAAATTATTGTGAATAGACATGGGCTTGGAGTGTGGATTTGGAAGGTGGAGACTTTGGCAGTGCTGGGCCTGTATCCCCACTTCTTGTTTCCATCCTGCCCAGGTGTTGATCTCACTGTTGATCTCACTGATGGTGCCAACCCAGAGGTTTATGGACTTTAGGATCATTAAACCACAGTAGAATTTATTTGGAGTGATAAAATGGGCAAACGTCATTTCCTGAAAGACTGTTTGACTGCAGCAAAGAGGACAGAAGACACAGCCAGGGCAGAGTAGATGGAAAAGCCTCACACTGGCATTGCTGTGAAAGCTAGTTTGACACTGAGCCACAGCTGCAGGGCATGTTGGCTAGTACTGTGCATCATTTTCCTATTGAGGTAGACATAAAGGTTATATGAAACGTATATAAAATAACTTATTTATATTTAATGTCAGGAGTTGAGATTTTTCTTAACTGCCCGCAGAATCTTTGGGTAGTAGGACCTGGACTGCAGAAGAGGGTAGAGTAGCTATTCAGTTTGTCAGTAAGCGCAAAGGCTTCATCCTTTAGTCAAAACTCAATATTAAGGAGCTTAATTGATCCATTGTTCAAATAAAGTTTGCTTCTGCAGATTCTTCCCTGTATTTGAAATAAATGTCACTGAACATGTTAAGCCAAATGTTTTTTATAAACTATACTTGTAGTTCAACTGTGAGTCTTTTTCCCATGCCTATTGAACCAATATGGTTTTGAGATCTTTTTATTTTACCAGAATGTTTTTCTGTAGGACTTTTTTTATTTTTTTGCTTCACTTTCCAGAATGCTTTGTTAAATATAAAATTTTCATTGCTTCTGGCCCCATGTTGAATATTTCCCAGTTCTCTGTCCTACTGAACTTTTTTTACTAGTTCAACATTAAGATCTCCTCCTTTCTTTTTCCCATTTTATCTACTGTGGAAAGGATATAACACCTTTTTTTTTTTTTTTTTAACTCTTTCCCAATCATTTCCTTCTTATTTTGTCACTTTGATGGCACTCCATGCTTTTCCTCAGAGACATCACCATTGTTGAAATTGTATAAACTCATACAGAAACCTAGGGGAAGGGAAGGTGGCAGCGGAATGAGAAATGCAGAAACTTGACAATGCATATCTGCATAATTTTACATTTTAGAAATTTTAAATATTATAGGTCTATATGGTATTTTGTCTCTTCTTGCATTTCTGATTTTGATTATTGTGTGAAGCTGAATTTAAATTCACCAGACTATCTCTTGTTAGATATATTCAAAGGCTAAACAGTTTCCAGATGTCAAGAGGATTCCAAAATTAGGTTAAAATCTTATTCTGGGTAAGAATCTGAAATCTAAAGTTAAAGATAGTTTTAGTGGTTGCACAGCATTGTTCTTGTTGATATTATTTCCATAATGAGGAGTAAAATAAAAGAATAACACGAAATAACATTATCATTAATAGAGTCAAAAAGAAAATATTTGCACTTTAAGTTCATCATTGTACATGGAACTGTAATAATGATGCTTCCTGTCCACCTTTCGAGCAACAGATGTGGGACACAGCTTGAAGCAGAACACTAGGCTTAAACAAATCAGTGATATTTGTCACAGATTTTCTTTCAAAATTCTCTTATTGTTCAAAAGTAGAATGAGCTAAACTTCTTGATCTATGAATTTGCTAGAAAACATGAATTTTTGTTTCTTCATGTACAACTTTTGGAGATTCCTTTGAATCTTATTGTGTTTTTCCTTTGCGATATATATTGTATAATTTTTTTCCTTTTTTTTTTCTTTAATTGTGTGAAGTAAACATTGTTCAAGGTGTTCCAGGTGAAGGTCTTCATTATTCAAGATACCAGACTAGCTTTTCACAATGGATCCCTAAAGCTGTTAAAACTCATAATTGCATAAATGTTGCATGTGTTTAGAGTGTTCAGATTTGTATCATAAGAACCATATTTTATTTTATCCCATATGAAGAAAAATGTCCCTCTTCAGGAAACTATTAAAGTTCAGGAAAGATGCTTTATTAAGTACCTGACTTAAAGGGACTTTGAAATAGCCCGGATGTTAAGTGCATACTGAAGAGTTGTTTTAAGAGTCATCCCAGTTCTTTCCAGACACAGATTTGCTGTGGCTTTTTTCCCTACCACATCATGTAAAATGTTAAGGAGTAAAAAAAGAACTTTGCAGTGTATCAAGTAGTCTGGAGTTGCATGATGCCTTGATTACACACAATAAAAATCCGAACGCTGTAAATCTGAGTTTCATTAGTAGATTTGGGCCCTAACAGGGATACTTCACCAGGACTCCTTTCAGTGGGTTTTTTACATACCACATTTATAAGTGTATGTGTGTTTTATTACTGAAAGGATGAAGCTTTATTTTTTTAAAATATTTAAGGGACAGACTTATTTACAATAATATGTATGTATTCTCACCTGTGTATTCGTGTGTGCACTTTATTCAACCTTATGAATTTGTGTGCATTAAAGTGGATGCTGGTTTCACTGTTCCAGGGGAAGACCCTGAAGCAAGAAGAATGAGAACTGTAAAGAATATAGCAGACCTGAGACAGAATTTGGAAGAAACCATGTCCAGTCTTAGAGGAACCCAAATAAGCCACAGGTACACTGGTTTTGTGTAGACCGCTAAAAATATGGACTATGGGAGAATATTGCCAGGTGCTGAACGCATGAGAGAAATTAACGCAAGGGAAAATTAACTAGGACACTAATCATACTTTTGTGAGACTGCCTTAGCAACTTACATTTTGATGTAAAATTTTGATTTACTTTACTGTCAAAATTTCTTATACAGCCATTCACAAAGATAGTTATTGTTTCATATACTTTTACTTAGAAGCCTATAAAATTTATTTTAGGTTATTTTATAAATAGATATACAATCATAGAATCATAAAATCATTTAGGTTGGAAAAGACATCTGAGATCATCAAGTCTAACCATTAGCCCAGCCCTGCTAAGTCCACCACTAAACTATGTCCTCAAAGTGCCACATCTACAGGTCTTTTCAATACCTCCAGTGACTCAATCACGTCCCTAGGCAGCCTGTTCCAGTGCTTGACAACCCTTTCCATGAAGAAATTCTTCCTAGTATCCAATCTAAATCTTGGCCCTTAAGGCCATTTTCATTTGTCCTATCACTTGTTACCTGGAAGAAAAGGCTGACCCCCAATTGGCTGCAGCCTCCTTTCAAGGTAGTTGTAGAGATGGATAAGATCTCCCATGAACCTCCTTTTCTCCAGCTAAAAAACTCCAGCTCCCTCAGCCACTCCTCATATGACTTACTCTCTAGGAACCTTCATTCAATGTCTTTCTTGTGGTGAGGGGGCCAAAACTGAACACAGGGTTCAAGGTGCAACCTCACCAGTGCCAAGTACAGGGGGATGATTATTTCCCTGGACCTGCTGGCCACACCATTTCTGATACAGGCCAGGATGCTAATGGCTCCCTTGGCCATCCGGGCACTGACGTGTCCAGCTCGTGTTCAGATGGTGTGGACCAGCAGCCCCAGGTCTGGTCAGAATATCGCAAGTTGGAAGGCACGCACAAAGGTCATAGAGTCCAACTCCTGGCCCTGACAGGACCATTCCCAAGACTCACACCAGATGCTGGGCAGCTTTCCAGCCACTCTGCCCCAAGTCTGTAGTTCTGCATGGGTTGTTGTGACCCAAGTGCAGGAACCGGCACTTTATCCTTTTGAACCCTATCACTGGCCTCAGCCCTTCAATCCAGCCTGTCCAGATCCCTCCGCAGAGCCTTGCTACCCTTCAGCAGATCATCTATCCTGCCCAACTTTCTGTCATCTGCAAGGTGACTAAAGGGGCATTCGATCCCCTAATCCAAGTTATTGATAAAGATATTAAGCAGGACTGGCCCCAGTACTGAGGGGCATACACAAGCACATGTGGGCACATAGTGGAAATATGCACACACACACACACTCAGAACTTTTAAAAATAAATATACATTCCTCCAGCCTTTACTTTTCCTGGTTTCTCAGGAAGAGAGGAAACACTGTTCACTGACTTCTCCATTGTGTTTGGCAGCACATTGGAGACAACTTTTGACAGCACTGTGACAACTGAAGTGAACGGTAGAAGCATACCAAGCTTGTCAAACCGATCAGCCCCAGTGACTTGGAGGCTGGGGCAGGCCAGTCCTCGGCTGCAGGCAGGAGATGCCCCGTCCTTGGGCGCTGGTTATCCTCGCAGCAGTGCAAGTCGCTTCATACACACAGACCCTTCTCGATTCATGTACACCACTCCGCTCCGCCGAGCAGCTGTTTCTCGCCTCGGAAATATCTCACAGATCGACATGAGTGAGAAAGGAAGTGGTGATTTGGACATATCCTCTGAAGCTGATGTTGGTGGCTATATGAGTGATGGAGACATTCTTGGGAAAAGCCTGAGGACTGATGACATCAACAGTGGGTAAGCAGCACTTTTTCCCCATTTGAACTAATGCATAATTAGTAGGTTTAATAGGATTTTTCTAAAAAATTCTAGCACACAGGTGGAATTTGTGTTATGGTTGCAAAATTAGAGTATACAAACATACAAAAAAACCCCAGAAACAAACCTAATCTGTCAGTGATACTCTCGACTGCCTCCAAATTCTATTCTTCACCTTTAACACCAAGATGATTTTGCTGTGAGCTTTAATAAGAGCTCAGGTACGTCTTGTTACTTACTGGGATTTCTTGGTTATCTGGTAAACCATCTTTTTTCACTGTTTTCTCTGGGATGGGTCTTCTTTTTGGTATTTTTGTTTTGTTTGAGATTTATGGTATTGGGTGCACCTGATGAAAAGCAGTTGCTGGCAGAACAGACTTTCTCTGTCTCCACTTTAAATATTTTCTAGTGTAGTCTGTGTGATAGGCCTTTATTGCAGTTTTTTCAACTGTGCCTATCATCTGAGCAGTCGGAATATCTTTCTGTAAAAGACTAGATTAGTTACTCCCTTAAAATATCCAGGAGGAAGAATCACAATTTTTCTTTTTTCTTAATCAATTGAGTGACTTTGGGGTACTACCCTGTGTTTCAGATTACTGTTGAACAACTCATATCAATCTTGGAATGCATGTGTCTTCACTTCTGTGTATGTTAGAACTCCTAAAGCATCATTTAAAAAGAAAAGACGTTACAGTTTTAATCATGCTTCAATTACTACTCAAGGCTGTTTGGTGACTGAAGAAACAGTGTTGAACAGAAATCCCATAGAGTACATGACCACGTCACATCACACTATTTCACTCTCTATAAATTTAGAAATCTTACTGTCAGTCTAAACTCTTAGTTTCAAGTATAGCTATGATTAGAGAATAATGGCTTATGAAATTGAAAATGATACATTCCTAAAGGCAAATCTGAGTCTGTGATAAAAGCTCTCTCTAGAGTAGTATTGCACCTCAAGCACAATCCAAAGATAGATTTCTAGGAAAAGTATAGCTATAGAGAAAGCACATTCCTATATCTCCCTGGTCCACTGCCTCAGTGATCCATGCATGGAGCACTGCTGACAAGGTTGTCCACAGCATGGCATTAATGACTGTCAAGTAGGATACCATATTCATGTGTGCTAGAAAAAGAAAAGACATATGGAGAAAGTGGTACTTTAATGTCTGCGGACCGTTTATCTTAAAGGACATATTAATGCTGCCTTTGATAGATGCATTTGGTTTTATTTGAAATAAAAGAAAAAAGGGAATTCTTTGAAGTGCCTGGAAAGTTGTATTTATTAGCTTATCACATTAAAGAATGAATAAAGTCATTTTGTGTGACTTTTCTTTGCATCTGTAAAAGGATGACTCAATAGATAGTAAGTTGCAATGTGCTCAGTTAACATTTTTTAGGTGTGGTAAATGTTAAAGCAGTTTAATAAGCTCTGAAATTTCAGGATTCACTGAGGCATGTAAAGTCTTATCTCCCTTACGCTTCTTCCATTATCAGTTTAATTACTTTAAACACTTGGGGACAGGAATGCAGCAGTAATTAGAAATTAGTGTGAGGAAGGCCTGTTGCACTTATTAAGTCTCTCCATTCAGCCCTTACTTATACAGGAAAAAAAAATTCATATTTTCTGGATTGCATTCAAACCACAGCTAAATTTAATATGTAATTCTAAAGCTTTGGAATCTACTGGATAATTCAAGCCTAGCTAAAAAAATCTGTCAAAAAAGTCTGAATTTTGCATTTAATAAAAGGATGAATCTAGTATGTGAGTGTTACTCTATCTTTGAAAACAAATGTGAAGTTACCTTCTGCAGACTCTAGACAGGTTTCAGAAGTCCCTTGCTGAAATGCAGGCCAAATCTTACCCGAGCGTAAAATGCCTCAGGGTTTTGTTAAAAATAATCAAAGGAACCCTTTGTGTTTTAATGCACTTGATGTTGCCTTCATCCAGATTTCCACCCAGAACATGATGTCTTCTCAAACTGGAACTTCACACAGGGCTACGCTACCACAGCTGTTCTCTCAAGACCTACCTCTAATCACCCACCCCTAACAGTGGGGTGGAGGCAGTGCTCTTGGGGTTTCTGTACTGGCCCTCAAGTGTCTGGGACAGTTGATTTTAACTGGAAGGAACCACAGGGAGATGACCAACAGAACAGCTGGAGCAGCAGCAGTGTGTGAGCCTTGGCTTGTGCTTGGGAGTCTGTGTAGGGTTACTAAAGTTAAATGTTTGTGTGCTTTGACACACACTTTGACTGAAAGATGGGTTTAAGTGGCACGATTTCATGGCTCAAGGAGAATTTTTGTTAAAGATTATTCAAATCATGAGTGAACTCCACTTTAGCCATCAACCTAGCACTGGGACTACACATATTTCAGTAAGCCCCTATTTTATTTTGAGGTAGGTTCACTGAGGTATACCAATTTTTTTTCTGTATATGTATGCTTCTGTGTTAAGTGACATACATGTGCATGGTCCTCCAAACATAAATTTGTGCTACCTCTGCTGGTACATTAAAGTTATCAAAAAATGCAAAAGGGAAATGGAAAGAAGAAGAGCCTAAGAAGGAAGACAGTTTAACGAAGGGTTCTTTGGGAAAATAAACAACAGGTCTTGCGAGTAGGACAGGCCTGTGGTTCTGCTCAGTTATAAGTGCCAAAATCTCTCATAGAGGCAACTAAACTGTAGGTGGGAATTACAGAAATTATTGCTAGTGCTTTGAATTCACAAACTTTTAATGGTTCTCAAGTGAGTAAACAGCACTATACTCCCTGTTTGATTCATTAGACATTCATTATAACATGAAGTGGTGGGAATCAAGTAAAAGAAACACAGATAAAACAATATTCTTAAATATCATTGTAAGGTCTTCAGTGGATATCTCTCTCATAGCTGAATAATTGCATCTCAGCAGGGACTACTGATTTAGGTTCCTAATTTCTCTTCCCAGTTGGATGAATGCTATTGAATTTTTTCCTTTTCTTTTTCTTTTTTTTTAGCTGAAATGATGTTTCTTGCAGCTGGTGCTATTCTTTGGCAAAACTGAAGTACTTAAAATGTTCTTAAAGTTTTTGAAAATACTTGAGGGCTTCAGTCTAATTATATTTTAGTAAAACAGGCTGGCCTGTAAGCCATCACAGAAAAAGGCAAATGATCCTAGAAAATAGGCAGATATCCAATCTCCTTGTGCTGGGCACACGAAGTGGGAATACCATCTAATAGGACAACCTGTACCTTAAACATTTGAATTTCACAGTCCATTAACTTTAGAGTGAACCATAGTTGCCAGATGGCTGCGTTTCCCGCTGACTGACCACACTTTTTTTTTCAGGTACATGACGGATGGAGGACTCAACTTATATACGAGAAGTCTGAACCGAATACCAGACCTAGCTGCCTCTCGAGACGTCATTCAGAGAGGGGTTCATGATGTGACTGTGGATGCAGACAGGTAAGAGTGCTTTGCTAAGTAAAAAGCTATCTGAGCTTTATAAATATTTTGAATCCTTCATATCTGCTAAAATGTCACCATTTTGTTCATAAGAAATAGGAAGAGGAAAGGAAGCTTCTGAGGCTGCTAGTTTTCTGAGCAGCAGAAATACAGCAAACACCACAATGAGTGGGGAAAAAAAGCAAATTTCTCACATGGGAAGGAGTGAAGAATTTTTTGATGAAGATGTAAGAGAAAATATTAAGTAGCCCTGACCTGATTTGTAATCTTGAATTTCTGAAATGGGACATGATTTTTACAGGTTGCCTTATCAATTGATGAACATAGGGAGAATGCACATGGGCACAAAGCAGCAGAAAGCTTGTATGTGACAGGTGATGTGAGTCAAAATATGCATTTGGAGTTGTCTGGAACCAGAAGTATGATCTTGTCCACCTGTTTTACCCTTTACAGGTATCAGAAGGTGGCAGTACCCACTAGCACTGGGAAGCAAGAATTGGGGTTCTATTCCATTGTTCTATGCAGTATTGAAAAAGAAACAATTGCATCCTGCCCTTATACATATACATTATATATATATATATATGTAGATGTGATCATAAAAATATATTCCTACTAGTATGTCTGCAGATTAGACTAGTGTTTTCTGTTTCTTTTCCTTGAGCTTCAAGTGGATTCATATTTGTGGCTTTTATCCATGTCTGAGAAATAAAAAAACCATAACCCAACTTTTGCAGAACTTAGAGCTGTCAGCTATGAGGTTTTGGTCAGACCATCGTAGAGATAAGGAGCAGCTGTGAATTTTGGCAGTCTTCAGTTTTAAGGGTTGAGTCCCATCTTTTTAAAATCAAGTTTCTTTTAGTGAAAAAAAAAATATTTAGTCATGGAGGGAGAAAAGGTTCATGGAGTGGCTTTGGTTTTATAAACCCTGCAAATTAGTTGAAGAAGTTCTAGGATAATTACCTAGGTATGATATAATTTTTACTTTTCACATTTCCTGATGAAAATATGCCTGTGACACAAGTCAGGAATACTCTGCATGAGTCAAACAGTGCATGCAATGCATCAGGATAAAGGACATAGTTTTCATCTAGAGAACCAGTTTCTTAAAAAAGAAGGTTGCTTTAACTGACATCATAGCATTTGTTGACCTTGCAGAAAAAGCCTATTTTAGATAGAAATTCAAGTGAACATGGCTAAGTTCTTTGGAATGCAAGCATTGGTGTGATGCAAAGATCAGAGAAAGTGTACCGTAGGCGTTTAAGAAAATAATTTGGATAGAGCTCAGGCAGTAACAGAAGGAGAAAATGAGAAATAAGATGTGGGCAGGAGGGACTTTTGTGGTACTCTGTATGTGAGAACAAGAATCTTGAGCTCAAAGTGGGAGAGAGGGTGGAAAATTTAGAGGCTGGCAGTCATGTAATTAAAGACAAGGAATGTCTCTGGTGCCCACGTTTTTTTTATGTCTCTCGCTATTTTTTTTTCACCTCAGAGTGAAGTTATTAGAGCTCTTCCCACCATGCAATATTCATACACAGAGTTCAAACCATGCATATTTTCCCTGAAAAAAAGGGGTCCAAATGAAGGGATATTTTACTTAGTAATCCTCAGGTTCTAGATACCACTCAAACACTTAATGCTTATTTGTGTTAATATACATGTTAATTTGTCCTTTGTAGTGTGCAGGTACATACATATTTTGCAGAAAAGCTATCATCAGTTTCCAATTAATGAGACTGTCCAACATTTTGCAGTACCTAAATATGTTTTGGTTTGTTTATACAACTTTGTCAGACTGGCTAAAAACGTAGTTCTAAAAACCACTCTGCTGTTTCTGAGTCTATTGTTTGTCAGGTTGCAGAATAGTTGTTTGTCATGATATTATTCTGAGTCGTGAGTGGAAATCTGAGCAAATTCATGCAAGATGAAAGGCTTTAAAAAATGAAATTCATGTGTATTTGGGAAAGATTTGTTTGATCTCAACAAATAAAATCTCAATATAGTCCGTCTTCATTAGGCATTCGCAAACTGTTCTTGACATTGGCAAACTGCATAAGCATACCTGCCCCAAAGTAATTTTTAAGCTTAAAGTCTACAAGTGTGATTTAAGGACCTACTTCTTCACAGTAATGACTGCTTTCCCTTACACAAAGAAAGAAACCTGGCTTCCTGTGCTCTTCTAGACCCTCTAAATGAGGTTTCATGCAACATACTATGCTAATATGTAATTAAAAAGTTTATCATAAAGCACAGGCATGAGGTATTTAAATTATGGCTATTCAGACAATTCTGGCATTCCCTGACCTTTCAATGTTTTATTTTTATAAACTTAATCATTCTTTGTTGGTATAGATTTTTTTATATATATAAGTGTATGTTATTCCTTGAAAAAGCAAAAGTTTCTTAGAAGTGGAAAATGTAAATGTTTTAGGAGTTCTGATGATATAAAACACATGCTTACAAAAATGGGTCACAAAACTCTGTAGTAGGGCAAATTTTTGCCACATTTATGATGTGAAATCAGGTGGAAAAAGCAATAGAAATTGCTGAGACTCTTGCTTTGTTTGGCAGGGTAGGTTTTGGTCCTTCACAACAGTGTGGGTACTTGAGATTTCATCTATTCTCACACAGCATTTTGCAACTTTTTTTTCTACTCTGAAAAAAAAATAGGGATTGTGTTGTGGCTTCAGGATGTGCCTTGCCACTGGTATGATGAACTTCTGTGAAAGAGGATCCTCTATATCATCCTTGCAGATATGTGAAGGACATATGCATTTTTCTGTGGTATCATTAATGTAAACCTTTTTTATAATTGACGTGATTTGCCCTGGCCTTTCTGTTGCAAAAGACTCTGCTGGCATCTCTTTTCAGGCAGAAAATAAATTATATGTTGCAAATATATGATTTACTTTAGCAAACAGGAGAGAAATCTCAGTATTTTGTCCATTACCAGAGCCAGAAACATTTGCTGACAGCAATCCCATGTTCTTCATGAGAACTAAACCTGAGTTTTCTCTGACAACCTAAATTGCAGCTTCTGCTTATATTTTGAAACATTTTATCTTTGTGAGCTGGCAGTACAATATTCTTCAGAAAGGTGGGCTGATATCTCAAAGAGTAATGCCATTTCTGCTAAATTTATACTTTCAGACTGATTTGCATTTCATGGATAATGTAAAAAGACAAGCAGGTCACCAGTTTTACAACATTCTAAATTGGTTTCAGATAGCACTTGCATCTCCACATCGTGCCAAAAAGCAAAAGATTGAAGGATCTCCACATGGAAACTTAGCCTGAAAGACCTCCTCCAAATAATAATATTAAATTGCTCTTTGAACAACTTCATAAAAAGTTAAATTCATGAAGGCAACATGAGCCAAGGCATAAGTGTTGCTTGCATACTGTTCTGTTAAGCAGACTGTAGAAAGGAGTACAGCAAGCTTGCTTGTTCTGGGGAAAGAATTGTAGTGGTTCAATGAAAGGCTGAATGGATGCTAGCAGTTTCAGATGTCAACAGTTGTTTCATTCTTCTTTTGATTTTTTTTCTAACTTTGACTCTTTTATTTTGGTTTGTAAATGCCTATTCATTGCCATTTACCTTGCTTCAGTTACCGTAAGAAATTAATCAGTGAGGAAGATGGATAGGGTGTGGCTGAAAGAATTCTCAGTGGTATGATTTTACTTTTCATTTGTTGTCCTGCTTTCTTCCTCTATACTGTAGCATTTACCTCCTAGGACTCTTAGGGGGAGTATTTTATGAACTTGGAGTTCAAAATCCTTTTCAAAGTAAAATGAACCAAAAAAGATTAGACAAAAGCACACAAAATGAATTATGTTCTTGGAAAGAATAAGGTTTATTGCAAAGTAAGCTGCAATGTTTCCAAACTACCCTATGATTTCCACAAAAACTGTTACAGTAGTTTAAAATAAACCCTGTTAGAAGGGAACTCAGTGGAGTTCAACCATTGTCCTTCCACAATCTTTACCTGCCAAATTTAGTGCACTGTATCATAAACCGTAGTTTTCTTCACTTTCATCGGTCAACAGTCAACAAAGATTGTACAGCAACTTTCCCCCCTCACATCCCTTGTATGTAGTATTCTTTCTTTTTCATCTTTTCCTCAGATAAAATCCAAAGTTTTAAAGGTAGTTTATGCTGCTTAGTGTGCTTTTATCACAACCCACTTCATCTACTTTGCTTTTGCATTGAATCCAAGCCCCCATAAGAGAGTTTTTGTGCATGAGGAGTCTTTCAGATGCTTCCAGCATTTGTCACATGTGCAGAAGATTTGGAAGTTATCTCAGACTAGCTCAGGCTGGCCTGTTTGTTCTCAGCCAAACCATAATCGCCATACTACATTATTAATAAAATAATTCCAGATTTTGCCTATGGTTTTTTAACTAACTTCCTGAATGAATGACTATATGTCTTCTTGTGTTTGCCTGAGTAGATGAGCCTTGAGTTGGAATACTGTACTTTTAGGAAAGTAACTTTTCCAGAGATCACACAGACATTGAACTGAGAGCCCTGTTTCATGAGGCTGATCGTATCAGAAAAGGCTGATACATTATGAACAGTAACCTATTAATCCTAATAGATTGCAATGCTTGTTCTCATACTTTACAGTTTCGGCAGCGCATTGCAATTGACGATGTAATTTGGAATTTAACCCATTGCAGTATGGGCATACTTTATGTTTTGCCTTTCTATCCATATGCTTCTGTGTAATGTCTATTTCACTACTGTACTAATACTGTGCTTTCTACCATGTATCTCTGAAGTTTGGTATTGAGGTGACCATTGTTCTGCCATGTTGCAGCTATTATTACCTGTTTAGTTTGATGCTTCTGGTAGCAGACCAGAATTTACTATGGATAAAGGAAATATATATGCCACAGTATTGAAGTACTCACTGTGGGCACACATTCAGCCCCTTTACCCTTTCCTTTGTCTACCAACATTTCAGGTCTGTCCAAAACTGGATACCGGTGTCTAGGGC